GAAATTTGAGTGAAACCGAACTGCCTTTTCTGTAAACCTTTTCTTTATATTTTCCTTCCTCAGAATCCTAATCACATGAAACAGATCGATCGATCAAAATTTTTTTTTTAAATCACTTGTAATCTAACGTTGAGCGTTTTCATTTTGGTTTTAAGTTGTATTTAAAAAAACCTTTATTGCAACATTTTCGTCACTAAGTTTCCTTTCCAATGTTCTACTTATTATTTTAATTTTAATTGTTGTGTATTTTGACATTGTATAAATCAGCCCAACCAAAAATCCATCCTTTTTGTATTAGTTGTTTTTCGGGACGACATCGTTCGTCGCCGGGGCTTCGTATAGTAACCTTCCCAGAAACCATGTACCGTTACTCAACGCCCAACCGTCTCCTAGTCACTTCTAACCATATGCGCTACCGGGGCATTATTCAAAGCCCCTTTTGGTACGGGGCGCCAGTCAGCAGCCCGTTATACGAGAGTGAGCGAGGAACAAGGTAACGGCTGTCGGGGCTCCTCCCAATCTGTAATTAACTACTACAGCCACGGAGTTTTTTCTATACCAATTACACTGTCGAACTCCCACTGATACCTGACCACCTATTTGTGTGTTGCTTGTGTTTATTAAGCAGTCCTTATTTCCCTCGTATTTACTACATATGTTTTGCATATGTACCCAACCCCTTTGTTCCCACTGTACTGTCTTGTGTGCCAAAAAATTCTTATTCGTATTCTAGGCTTTGCTAGACTCCCTCTCATACTAGCTCCCTACATTACTGCTTAACTCTCCTACACCTCAATAAATCTTTTAACCAGTAAATGCTGCTTTTTCTAATTCTGATAGCTCAAGGAGAGAGACCCCCAATTTCCCTAGAGACGGTGCTGCCCCCAGCAACCAAACTAGGTAAATAACATGCGGCGGGCAGTGGAGTAACGTTTCCGTCTTCCTGGGGCCCCAGTGTTGAAAATGCTTGATGCTTCTCGGGATTTTTTTTCCCCTAACTTCCTCTAGGCACTGTAGTCTCTAGCCATCAATTTTTTCACTCACTTATTTACTGACACATCCATACTTATCTCTTTCTCCCTGGGCTTGAGTCGCAACTTTTTCTTCAAATCCCCCCGCGTTTTGTATGGCAATGCTATTTAGGGGTGACACAACCGTTTACCTTCCTTTCCTCGGCCCCCACTTTTGCACTTGCACTTTTACTATGTTTTTTCTTTTTTGTGATCACTTAATCCTTTTCTGGGGGTTAAAAATGATTATATGCACTCTTAGCATGCACACGCCTATTCCCACACTCTATTCCTTTTGTGCAGTAAAAAATTACCCGCCAAAAAAACAGCTCAAACCCCCGTCTCCTCCACGTGTCATGTAGGTTTTTGATATTGGATAGGGTAAGAATACTCACGTAGGCTGGGAGTACTAACTATAACGGAAGGAAAAAAGGAAACACCAACACCGACCCCCCTCTCTCTGCTCCCAACTACGCTGACCCCCTAGTCCTACGGGGGAGGGTGTTTTTAAATCCTCTTGGTCAGCAGCAATATAATACGTCAATGATTCACACAGACGGTTGGGAGTGAGCATCTACTGGTAACTGGTTACTGAACTGGTTATAGAAGTACTACACTGAAGCTCGGGGACGCTAAATATGTCGTCCCGACTACAAATAATACAAACAGAGACGGCAGGTGACGGCTTGGGGTGATTCATACAATGTCTAAATACAACAATTGAACATTTTTAACAAACAAAGTAGAATATTGGAATGGAAGCTTACTTTAATTAAAAACGCAAATAAAAGAAATTAATATAGAACCAATCATCAAAATGAAACTCAACGTTGAGATTCCCCCAATAGAAGTGAAAAAAAAAAAAATTTGGGATCGATCGCTCTGTATTCATGGACCCTACGGATTCAAGGAAGGAACATAAACAAAGAAAAAAAGTGTTTAAAAAAAAAAGGCAGTTTCGGTGGCACTCAAATCTAACTGTTCCCTCAGAATTCGGAGAGAAATGAACACGAAAAAAAAAATTTTTAAATACTGAAAAGTTGTACTGTAATTATTCATCTATACAGGTTATTTCATTTAACCCCAAACCGCTGGGGGTGAGATTGATATATGAGAAGGGGTGCCCCATCTCTGGAGGATCAAACTCTTTTGAAACTGGCAAAACTCATGCTGTTTTGGGGCAAACCTAATTGTATTTTTTCAAATGATACTTGAGGTTTTCCCAAAATACCTGCCCGTGTACGTAGGGAAAAACGACTTCATTTTTGTTTCGTCTGACGGGAGTTTTCGGGGGGTTAGAGAGTAAAAGGACGGGAGGATTGTCAATTCTTCAAATTAGTCGGGTTTGGAAGCACTTTAATCTCACATCCCAAACTTAAATATGTTTTCAAAATGTGATTTTTTATCTGACCAGTACAAAAATTTCTCTAACCTTATCAAAATTACCAGTGAAAAGTTAAAACTACTCGATAAGGACCAAAAAAAATTTTTGAAAAGTTTTGGCATTGCAGACGTTTTTTTTAAAAGTTAAATCACATAACTCTCAAACCTATTTTGTTTTTGGAGGCTTTGCCGAGTGTTTGCGACTCTTGAAAAATTCTGCTTTTGATTTATAAAAGTTTTCAGGGATTTTTCAAAAACACTTTAGCTAACGGGTACAAAAGTTGCTATGAAATCATCGGGGTTGAAATTTTGGGTTTTGGAAAGAATATAAAAACCCTCATAAGGGCAAACTTTTTATCTCACCATAAAATGCATAATTTGGAGTGTCCCTTTTAGAAACATTGAAAGCAGAATTTATACAAAACTGCACTTTCAGTAAAACTTCATCCCAATTTTCCCCACTGTTGGGATTGAATAGTGGCTCCAAGACACCCAATTTTATTTTCTTTTTGGGGTACTTCCCCCAACCCCCATTGCTGGCGGGAAAAAAAATTTAAAGGGAAACAATGGTGGATTTAGAATCTTTTTACAAGGTGCACAAATTTTCAAGAATCTCATTACAAATTTCACCTCCATTATCTGTTACTAGGGACTTAGGGGGGTAGGGCCTGCAATAATGCTTTCTTTAAACTTTTTAAAGCTACTGTTTTCGGCATTTTTATCTGCAATGGGAAACTAACTCACAATATCTGGTGAAAGGGTTTCCTACCATAACCATAATGTTTGTTGCCCTGGAGGAACTTTAAAAAATTTAGTTAACAGTCAATAAAAACCCTTTTTCCCCATGGTTTCCTAGGGGTTTGGATACATTTGGGATTGGATTAGGCCCTTTGGGGAAATTACCTTTTTGTTGCATGCGGGACACTACATTTCTTCCCATACTAAAAAAATACAGTTCCCAAATACAAAGGCCCCAAAAAAATTTTCAATCGGGCTTGTTTTACTAACAACCATCCCCAGGGTGCGAAACACCTGGTAAAACCGGAACTAGCTGTAAGGCTAAATTCCTAGTACGGGAATTACAAAACTGGAAAAAAACCCTTTCCCTTCCCCTCCCCTAGGGCCCCAAAACCCCGCTGTTCGATACAGTAATTCTTTTTTTCTTTACAAATTTCACTGATGGGGCTGGGGGCTTCACATCAGAATAAGTTTCTTCCGGGAGAAGGAATCGAATCACCCCAGACCAAAAGGCCCTTTTCGTTGGCATTCTTTAAAACCGGGGGGCACTAAAAGGAGGGTCTGCGTTACAATACAAACCCATGCGCGATAAGGCATCTGGGGACACATTTGATTTGGCCAGGTAAGTGTTCAAAGGGGGGTTTAAAAAAAACTAAAATAAATTAGCCCAAAGGGCCATCGGGCTAACCTTCCAGTGGGTTTGTTTGTTTCTGGAATAAAGGTATCAGTGGAGCGGGGTCTGTCAAACATGAACAGAGTACTGAAATTAATTTTTGGGAAAGTGCTTTAAAAAAACCAAACTTTTGCTAAAGCTTCTTGCCCCAGTTACTGAAAAATTACGTTCACCTTTAAGGACCCCGGCAACCCAAATCAACTCGTTGTACTTCCCAAACATCTTCTACTAGTACGGCACCTATGCCAATAAAAACTAGCACCCGTTGTCAGATAAAAGGGGCCCTTTAAAAAATTTCGGGAAATTTAAAAAATTTGGAGCAGATGTTAGTTTTTCTTTTAGATTTTGGGAAATGCTTTTTTCTTGAGGGAAGGCCCAAAAAAAAGGGACATCTTTTTTAACAACTAAATTGGGAGGACACTTTTGGAAAAAAAATTGGCAATAAAAGATCATAAAAACCTGCTAACCCCCCAAAAAGGGGACCCTTACGGCATAAAGCATTTTGGGTTTTTAAAAATTTTTAGTACTGCAGTTACTATTTTTGGGTACCCAAAACCCCTCTGGGATTTGACAAACTTTACCAAGAAAAAAATTTTCTGATCTGAAAAATTGAATTTGACATTTTGATTTTTTAAATTGGCTTTTTCAAGTTTACCTTTTTACACATCAAGTTTTTTAAAAGTGTG